GTGCGGAGTGTTATTGTCTAAATATTTGGATTTTCCCCTCTTCGCGAGCAAACAGTCCGAGACTTGTTTCTCCAGCACAGAAGCTGGAGAACAGTTAGCAATCGCCCAAATATGCACAGGGATTTGTACAGCTGTGGAGAGCAGGCTATAAAACATTGTCTCTCATTTTCTTTTTTATAGGAACGGATTTTCCTAACGTTCTCCAACTACATCTTTACAGTTATCTTCCTGACTGAGATGACAGTTAAGGTAAACGTAGCTGGAGGATAAGTGTACCTGTATTATATTAGTGATATTTTATTACGGTGGACTTGCAAAACCCTTAGGTATACCAGCTACAAGCGAGGTGTATATTTTGACTCTTCCAAATCATATTCAAATACCCACCACGTGCCTTATTCTGAGCACATTTTACATCAGAACAATTTCACTAAAGTTGCCCTTGATTTACACCGTTATATGAGCAATGGGATGCTTCAATTCAGCAATCCTTCCCTCTTCAGCAAAGCTCTTGAACACGTGCTTAACTTCAACCATGCATGTAAGTCCCATTGTCTTCAACAACCAGTCGTCCTCAACAACCTAAGCAGCTATGTGCTTTCCAGAGGAGGGAGAGACTTAAGCACGTTGAAACGTTTTGCTGGATTTGGGGCAGGAGGCTCAGAAACCCATTGCTGTAAATCTCCCTTGTGTAATTCATAATCATCTCACAGAATAATTGCTCTTTCTTTGGAAAGTTTCTCTAGTTTCTTTATTTGCAAAGCTTGTAAATGATTGCTTTGGGTCAGCCACTCTGAACCTTTACTCCGGCAGTCTGTAGGAATAAAATACGATCAAACTTTTTATGCCAGAGTTAAACATGTTAGGAACAGTTTTGTGCAGCTAGGTTTAGCTGCATTAAAAATATATCAGCTGTAAGGGACAATCTGGGATGTTTCTGCAGAGGTATTTTTACAATTCTTGCAATATAACACTTTGCTGATTTGTCTAATTAGGCTTCTATACTGGGAAGCAAATGGACTCACAGACGTGTATCTGTAAATAATGCGTTCTCAGCAGGTTGCTAACTGGAAGAAACATATTGGATGCGATAGTCATAATTTGTTGCAACTTGGTGTCCGGGCAGGTGGTGGCACTAGGCTTGTGTTTTGGGGAGAAAGCCTACTTGAAAAGCAGCTGGAACGTGCTGGATGGAGTGCTGGTTCTCATCTCCATCATTGACATCCTGGTCTCGATGGTGTCAGACAGCGGCACGAAAATCCTGGGGATGCTACGCGTTTTGAGACTGCTGAGGACACTGCGGCCCTTAAGGTAAGCAGCGGATGAGGAAGACCTAAAAGAGTGTAGGGTGTGTGTGCCAAAGGAGGAGCTGAGCCTCTCCCACAAGCGGCAGCATTCATGCAAGGGAAAGGGCGGGCGAGACTAGGGCACGGCGTCTGTCGCCGGCGTTGTGCCCAGCCTGCTGCTGCTCCGCAGACAATGAGCGTCCGCAGGTCCTGCAGAGCCGCAAGGAGCTCCGGGCGCTCGCTGTGTTCTGGGACCAGCCCCAAGTGCAGTAGTAAACTGATCAATGCCTCTTTTGCTCATTAAAACACACATCCCCTGCTATTTGTGTTCTCGTTTGCTCTGTGTAAAGTGCAGCTTAACAGCTTCTTCTCCCCCTTTCCTTCAGGCAGTCGATGCCTTTCGTAACAGAGAAGGAAATTAGTAGCAGGTGGCAGATCATTTTTAAGGAAGCGAAGACTAAACCGTTGCTTAACCTAGAATGCAAAGAAGCTTTTTTTCCCCTCAGTTCCCCATTAATTTTACAGAGACGTTTATTTTGAAAATTGCCCAGACAAGATGAAAGCAATTGTCCTGCAAACTTGGTCCCCCATCTCTGACAGCAGGCGGTATCCCATGCTCCAGGGGCAGGCATCCCTCTGACAAGAACCTGCCCAAGGACTGGCCTCTTCCAAACAGGCATCTGTTTTGTCCTGCACCCCAAGGCATGAAGGTTTCTCTTCATGCTAAATGCAGTCCCTCCTTAATACCATTGTTGCTGCTCTTGTTATGCAGCAGCTAATAAACCTTCCTGCTCAAAGCATCTTTGTGTGCCTGTCATATCTTACTGCTGCTTCCTTCATAAAAGGTTCGCTTTGAGTCAGGATTTTCTCTTTCAGGACAGAAAAATAGGACCCTGCTTCTGACAGAGATGTTGTTTTACTACCCCTATGTGAATAATAAGTCTAAATAACAGTGGCCGTGCCTATACGTGTGTCTTTCAAATATTCTCAACACCTATGAAAGACATTCTGTTACATTGGGCTATGTGTGTGTTGTGCCTGGTGAGTTTTAGGACGTGAGCTGCTTTAATAGTTTTTATCTGGACAGATAGCGCCATTGGTGTGGTTTGGCTCCCTGACCATATGACTAGACTGTCTTCCTACGTGACTCCAATTCAGACTTTTTTCTCTTTGTGTGTCCCCCAGCATCTCTGTGTCAACTGTAATTTCTGGGGGCAGTTTCTGCCAGATTGCTGGTTCGGTAGATCTGCTCTGCTCTTCTGTTTTGGCTGATTTTTGATCTGTGTTAAGAAAATCTACAAAATAATCTGGATAGCTCTGGGTAAAAGAAGGATCGATTTCCCATCTCTGAACTGTGGAATGCAAGTTTCTTTTTTGAGGTGGTGTGGTTAAATCGGATCTAGAGGAAGAGGCTTGGGTTGTGCTGAGCCCTGCTAGAGTCACCTGTCTGACCTCGTAAAAGCCCTGGATGCTTCTTTGTAGATCTGTAGGTCTGCCCGGCCAAGACCTGGGTCTTTGTTTACTAGAGCCTTTCTCTGCAGTCACCTATGTGCATGAGTAGTCTGCAGTTATGGGGAACAATCCACTGAGTAACTGCAGGCTGGAGGAAGACCTGCCATCTGGACCATGTGCAGGATTAGGCTCTTCCATTGCTATTCCATTCCTGTTGGCATTTGATATGTTTTCTCAAGAGAGTGTATGAATGTTTTCAGCCAACATACTGCTTTCTGCTACAAAGGAAATGTAAAAAGACAGCGACAAGCCCATTCCCTAAATGTGTTCACAATCAGTTCTATTCCCCTGTAATTAGATTTGTAGGAAATGAAAAAGCAGCCATCAAACTGGGGGCTTTTCAGAAAGTCATAAATCTCCACATGTGGAAACCCATCTGCCTCTGCGGTGCACATCTGGGCTGCCCTGAGCACGCCTCTGCCCGCTCTGCCTTTGCCGCGGGCTGCGCCGCGTGGCTCGGTGATCTGCCCGGGACGTTCAGCTGGATCAACATGGGATGGCAGCCGGGACAGGCGACCTGAGGTCTTTGCACACCGTGGCTCCAGTCCCCGTGTCCCGGTGAAGTCCCCTGAGGAGACCGAGCCAATGTTTTTCCTTTCCAGGAAGGCGTAGGGCAGAGACCAAAGTGAATGCTCCGTCCCCACCGCAGAGGAGCTAACCCGGCTCCTTCTGTCCTCCCTTTCCGTGGGCACTCAGGGACAGGGCTGCCGGGAGGACACCCTCAGTGAGAAGCCAAGCCATGGCTGTGCGGGTCACACTCAACTCGAGGGCAGGGACAGCCCTCATCGTCTCTGCGTTGGCTTTCCTGGTTGATGGTCTGAAAGGGTTCTCATTCTGTCTCTCATTTTCTCCCGTGAAGACACCCCGTTGCTTTACACAGCACACAAAACCACGCATGCTTGTGCCTTTTGCACAGGCATTAAAAAAACACTGGCCTCTGTGCCAATCACGGGCTTTTGATTGCATGATTGATTATCAGCCTCCAAATTGAATCCATGAGGATTCGAGCCCAGCTTTATGACCAGAATTCCAGAAATATATTCACAAAGGAGTGACATTTAAAGATGTTTCCATGACCCTCTGATGTTTCAGCCAGTAGAGGGATTGCTTATACAATAACATTCCTTCCTAATGCGTTCAACCTGCTGTTGTTGGGATCAAGTGTTGTAGCTTAAGATACAAGAGAAATCAAACTTGAAAATGTATTCAGAATTAACGTGGATGGACTTCAGTGCTGTTTAACTCTCTACAGAGCCTGGGCTTTGACTTCCAAAGCAGATGGATAAATTATTCACTTTTCATACCGTGGCAGTATGAAATAGTAATTTCATAGACTCTCTTCTGTCTATCATATTAACACCTTTGCTAATTTTTTTTTAATCTGTGGAGGAAGGTCTTCATTAATATTGTTCTGCTACTTCATCTAAGTGCTACTTCTTCTTCCGAGTGCTCTGATCAGGCTAGCAGGCTTAATGTTAGTAAATGTGCTCCAGCTGGGGTGAGGCTGGCAGGAGGTTTGGAGTGTCTCACACCAGGGGTTTAACAGCATTGGGAATGCTGAGACCAGCAGAACCAGGAGGAACTTGAGGGATTAATATTTCTTCACACTGGAAGAAGAAAAAAAAAAAAGTCTCATTTCAATTTCCCCATTTGTCATATGCCTAATGCAGACTGGAATTGTCCTGAGTGCAACCTCGGCGAGTCTACGGCTCTGGCACGCCTGGAGGGCTCCAAATCAGCTGCATCCTTCAGCGATAAATTGCAGGAGTGGTGGGTCAGATAATATGAGTTTACAAACCTGATGTCAGCAGGACCTTGGGCAGTATTGATGAGGCGTGGGGTGCCGTATGTGGACATATTGGAGCTGACACTAATAATCTGGAAATGCTGAGGATTTCATTGGCACTTCTTAGGGAGTTATCAGACTCTAGGAGAGCGGCAGGAGTCTTTGCAGAGACTTGCCTCGACATTGGATCAGGCCCTTAGTTTGAGGCAGCTTCAAGGTCTGAAGGTTTTCATTAGTAAGAACTATTATTTTTCAAAATCTTTTCAGAGTCTTCTCTCCCTGTAGGGCTGGAAACAGCACTGGCCTGGAGCTAAACTGGTGGCAGCTTTTACCCTCATGCAATCTCATTTGAGGAATTCCCTGGTTGATGAAAACCTGAAAGCAGCCAAATGCTGCAGTTTCTCAGTCCTTTTTTTCTCAACACACATGACTTTGTGAAGTCAGATGAGTAACCTCCTATTTTCTCTCTCTGCTGGATACCAAATAGTATCTCACAAGGGAAATCACTTTATTATTTCTGGAATAGGCTTTCTTAATAAGTGTTGGAGAAAATTATCGACTTTAGGCTCTGGAGACTAAATTTCTTCCTTGTTCCCCAAAATTTAAGGATGCTCCAGTAGTTTAGACCACAGGCCTTCAATTTAGAAGACCTGACTTCGGTTCCATCCTGTGTGACAGTGGGCAGAATACCTAAGTCAAGATCCCTAAAGGCACCAAAATACCTAATTTCCATCAAAATCATTGGAAATGAGGTGCCTGCATACCTCTAAGAACATGGCTTGCGGTCCTCCCATGCCTCAGTTTCCCCATCTGTAGTTTGGCAGTCGTCGTAGTTCACCCAGGACTGCGTGAGGATAATAGGTGAGGGATGGTGAGGTCTTTAGGCCATCCGAGGATCCAGAAGAGCAATTCAGCCTTAGGCTGCCCAGCCCAATCCTTGCTTTGTGCACGCGGAGTGGGAAGAGCCCTTGCCCTGCGGACACTGCCTGTTAGGCTGGAGTATCCAGCTCACTGAGTCGGGCACGCTAACCTGCTGTCCAGCCTCCTCTGCTAGCTGGCCTCAGCTCGGCTTTCAGCATCGGTGCGGGTACAAAGTGGTACAAAGCGTAGCTGACCCAGTGAGGACCTCAGCCTGGGCTAATTCACATGGGCAGTTTTGGCAGCCCGTGTCTCCACACTGCCGCGGTTGCACGGGGTCCACACCATCCCCTGGGGCATCTCAGTCTTGAGTAACCTTCTGCTCCCTGAGCTGTCTCACCCCCAGGCTTGTTCCCTAAAATAACCCAGATCTGAGCATCAGGAAAGCCGAGATGTCCGAAATAGGGAGCCACAGCAGCTACCTGGAAGAGACACCCAGCGTGAGGTGTGCATCTGCCTTTTGTGTTTCACTGGTAAGGGAGTGGATAAAAATACCGCTATCTGTTTCTTTTTTAAACCGATAATTGATGAATTAGTCTTGACATTTCGAGTAAATATTTAACCAGAAAAAAGAGAAATAATTTTTAGCTTTTCAAGATACTGTTTGAAGCCAACAGTTTTTGAAAGACCTGGTGCCTGTGCACTGATCTCTGCAGTTTGCTAAACCTGTCAGCTCTGGGGCAGGAGGGGGTTGGTGCCGGCTTGGCTGGGGTCCCAGCTAAGGCCATGCATGTCGGGCATGTGGATGTGTCCGTGGGGACCTCTGCTGGGAGCACCATAGCCCGGGAGGGGGAGAGAGGAGGAGAACTTGGATCCTCTCCAGGCGACAAAACTCCAACTGTGCTTCAAGTGGTGCAGCCAGACTTGGGGCAGAACGGGAGAGGTGGTGAGAGGACTCCCACGGCAAAAGAGAGAACCAGGCAGAAAGAAGAAGGTGGGGAAGTTTGTGGCAGTTTTGAGTGCCAAGTGTTCAAAGGAGTCACCAGCCAGTACCTAGAAGCACACAGGCGCTTCGCTCCCTCCGACTTACACAGCAGACAGCTATTTCTGCCTTAGGAAAGCACAGTTTCTATGGCATCAGTACAAATTGATTTACAGCGCTAGTGAAATGCTTAATTCCAGTTGGCATCAAGAGGAGGGAGACATGCAACCTCTTCGGATGCCTTTCTCGGTCCCCTAGCTCTCCACCTTCAGCTCTGTGAGCCTGAATACCTCGTTCATCTTGCCCAGCAGAGTGAGATGGCTTCTCTAAATCACACAAGCCTTGTCCTTTCTTTGTAGTGTTGTCCTTGAGAGTATAGTACAGTTTTTCCTTTTTTTTTTTTTTTTACTTGCTTCACTCATGAAGTCCACGTTATTCTTCCCCAACCTTCCAATATGATCTAATCCTCTGTTATGAAATTCTGTGTGGTACCAGATGGAGAGGAGCTACAGAAACAAGGTTAGATGCCTGTGGTCCCGCTGGTGAAGTTTCACCTGGAGGACACCACTGGTTCAGTAGCTGAGGTTGTACAGTGGGTATAAAGCAGAGACTGTGATGGTCCTGAGCGGTAGCTCAGGTCTCTGTACACAGCAGCACTATAAGGATACGTACAGATTTTATTTTTTTTTACACTGAGTGTGGTGAAACACTGGCACAGGTTGCCCAGAGAGGTGGTGGATGCTCCATCCCTGGAAACATTCCAGGTCAGGTTGGATGGGGCTCTGAGCAACCTGATCGAGTTGAAGATGTCCCTGCCCACGGCAGGGGGGTTGGACTAGGTGACCTTTAGAGGTCCCTTCCAACCCAAACCACTCTACAATTCTATAGTGACTGCAGATGTGCAGGCAGCTTTTTAAGAGTGGCTGCTCCATTTCACAGACTGAGACAGGGAAATCAAGAACCTTGCCTAAATCTATGCAGGAATGGACACTGGGAGGCCCTCTCTTTGCAGTCCTGGACAGGCTACAGGCATAAAAGTGTGTGTTTGTGGATGGCCCAAACCACGAGGCTGGATCCCAGGGAAGGTGCGATCAAGGCTGGAAACCTAGAGAGCTCTTTGAACCGAATGATAGGAAAAGGAAATTGCCAAGGCTTGAATATATTACAGTGAATGGTAACTAGAAGATGCTGATCAGCAAACGAATCAAGAATAGGCAGTGAGTTAGATTAAAACCATCATTCCAAGTTTGAAAAATATGGGCCTAGCCTATATATCTTCCTTTCCTAGGTCCTTCTCCAGTGACTTTTCTGGCCTGGCTCCTCATATGTGGTCTCCTCCTCCTCTTCTTTTACGCAAAGCTATATGTGTAGGCAGAGACCCCTTTCCCTCACACACATCCATAATCTCACAGGTCAATCTTCCATAACTGCTTCTTCCATCGTGATTTTTTACTTCTTTGCCATTCTAAAAATTTCCCCAATGATGTTTTCTCCGCATCTTCTATCTTGATAGGAGGCAGAACTGGGCAAGAACAGGACTAACACAGCTTCTGTGCTTACTTGCCCCCACAGAGTCATTAGTCGAGCCCAAGGACTGAAGCTGGTGGTGGAGACTCTCATGTCATCCCTGAAGCCCATTGGGAACATCGTGGTCATCTGCTGTGCCTTTTTCATAATCTTTGGGATCCTGGGAGTTCAGGTGAGTCCCCTGTAAGCCTCAGCACCTAACCCAAAAGCGTAATGAGCCCCAGATGGCCCCACATCTGCGTATCTGTACCAATGGGCACACTATAAGCCTTTCTGAAACCGAACCAATGGGCTGTTTGGCCTTCTTGAGGAATGGTCCTAGCGAGGAGGAAGCAGCTTTCCCATTATTGGTCAGCCATTAAAAACTCATTAACAATTACAACCTAACAACAGTGGCCCAGCTACACGCATCCCTAGCCATAGTTGAAGGAGCAATAGTTAGGGTCAGTTAGCGGGGTTGGTTCTGCCTCTCTCTGGTTCCATCGAGGTTTTCTGCCCACCTCTGGAAACACGTGTTGGTTTTGAATCCGTAACTTTGCCATCGTTAACAGCCTGACATGACTCAGACCCAAGGGCTTATGCGGCTCTCGGTCCCCACCCCAGCAGCACAGCGTGGCCTTTCTAGTGCTCTCAAGACACATTTATTCCTGACTGCCCAGTCTTGGCTATGTGTCACTTGATGCATTGAACTTTCTCGAAGCCTCCCTGTTGCGTGCAGTGATACAAAAGCCAACATGATGACCCCCTCAAAGGCACAGAATGGGCTTTCTTCATCCTTTCCCCACCACGAGGACTTCTGCTTTGCCTGCAGCGGGACATGAATCAAGCTATTTCTCCACTTTCTTCTCCTGGCCACACCCCAGAAGGGTCAGGCCTGAGGCATGGCATGTACCACCAGAAAAACTCTGCTCAGGGAAACTGTTAAATCCCATTCCCGTTCCATCTGGGAGATATCATAGGGACATCTCCCCTCCACCTTTCTTCTAGGTATAAACCAATGGGGAAATAGAAACTCTTAAAGCTGGAATTGTTGGTTTGTAAACTCCAGAGAGACCTTGACCTGGAGATTCATTCAGATTCTGACAGTTTGTGTAACTGAAAGCTTGCAGAAATAGAGATTTCTGAGTCTGCTTCCTGCCAGCTCTGCTGGCAATATCCTCAGTCCCAGCAGTGCAGAAACCTGGGGGAAAAATGGCAGAGTTTCCAATGCAATTGGTTTCTCGTTACCTGAGAAGAAGAGATTGTTTCATATAAATATTCTGACGTAACACTTATTTCTCTCTGAAGTTTATCTGATCTGTCACAGCCAGCTTTGGAAAGCAGCTCTGTTTGGCTTTGTTTTGGAAAGGTGTCTTATACAATATTTTATACTAATGTACTCTTTAAATAATAAATACAGCATTGAAAATAAACAGAGAAGGAAATCATGCCATCCATAACCATCTCAGCAGCTAGATTGGCTTAGCATTACAGTACAACATCCATCCATTATACTAAACAGATTCATAAAACTAAGCACATCCCGTAAAACAATATAAAACTCAGACACAGGGGAACTTACGCCAAACAACAAAACTTGCAGTATGCTCTTTGAATTTCCTCCCTGCCAGTTGTGATGGCTTTCCCGAGTGATTTGCAGTCTTACGTTAAATTGTCATGACTATTGATGTGCTTAAGCGGTAGATACAAGCAAGACTGATCCTGTATTCAGGATGCAAAATTCTCAGTTAATATTTATGGCTAATTAGGTGTAAGATGAGGGCCATAGCTACTTTCTATAAAAAGATAGTCTCTCAAAGTTAGTTGGTTTTCCCAGGTAAATATAAACTGGGGATCAAACTAGAGGTTTTTAATGCTATTAAAATCCAGATGTCCAGGTTTCTAACAGTGTCTCCTCTTGGCGAGACTGTTTTTATTGTAGAGCTTGTCCACACGTGAATAGTCATTAATAAGACACAAGAAATAGATTGATAAAACAAGTACAGTAGGAATCACTGAGTCTTTCACTTTCGGAAGTGCTAAAAAAGCTGAAGCACTGGCAGGGATCAGCATTTTTGCAAATGGGGCTTTGTATTTCCAAACCCCATTAGTAGCTGTGTTACTGCTCCCGTCTGAGTGGCATTACAGTCCAGCTCCTGGAGAAGTTGTATTTATAGACAATATATTAAAAACAGTTGTTTACCTTCCTGCTTAATTAAAACTTTTCTCCGTGAAGACTATATCTCCCCAGTCTGCCTTACCCACGGGTAGTGTTTCTCCATGGAAAGATCAGGGAATACTTCTCTTCTTGCATCCAGAAGTTTTATGACTGTGTTGAGTGGTGATTAATTTTGCATGCCTAGAGAACATCCTTCTGCTGTTGATTTCTGAAGGAAATGCGTGGAGCAATGCGTGGGTTTATCTTGTTCACTATTATTTCTACTGATATTTGTCTAGAACAACAGATCAAAACCTGTCAGCGTCTTTTCTCTGTATACCCAGGTGGTGTTTTAAGGAGCCTAGAGAGCAGGCTGCCATTTCCCCCCAAAACAGTAATGTCAATAGCTTCTGCCAGCAAATAAAACCAGATTTGTTGGATGTCTCCCGGGCTTTGATACCATCCATCCTGCTAGCATCAATCACCCTGTCTGAAGCAGTAATCATCCCCTGCCACTCTCTGTTCTGTGTGCAGGAAGCACCAGGTCTAGAATTAAACACATGGAGGCTCATGTTCCTCGTGCAGGTGTAAATCAGGAGCTGACTCCCCAGGAGTTGCGTCTCTCCTGGCTTACACCAAAGGAAATAAGCTCGGGATCAGGTACCCAGCACCAGCCGGGCTTGACTCCTTAAGCTCTGCACAAGGAATAATTTCAGAGACCCCTGGCATGGACTGCAGAGCCTAATGACGGCTGGAGAACAGCATTCAGGATCAGAGACCGGAGCTGGACTGACAGCAGTCTTGATTCAGCGAGAGCCCAACGTCACTCGCAGCAGCTCGGCTCCTCTCTGACGTGTCCCCTTGTGACCTGTAAGAGCGGAGCTTAGTCCGTCGCTGTGCCTCTTTAGGGCCACCTTTTCTCTGCTGACAGAGGGCCCCTGTTACATTTCATTTGTCGGTGACTCGTGAAACCAGCATCGTTAACTGGGCTGGAGTCGCCAGAGTGATCCCACGTGTGGCAAGAAGCCATTAGCTGCTCTGGGCTATTCGCCAGGGCCACACTTGAGCTGGTGACCCAGAAGCAAAGGCCTTTAGGCCAGTCTCAGATCACTGAACCAGACAACCTAATGCACGAGGTGGGTGTCCTAAACGATGTGAAATCACGCATTTGCTCATTAGGTGCATATTATACAGACTGCTCGCACTTAATAACCAGCACGAATGAGGCCGTTTCCCTTAACTTCTCTGGTCGGCGTGGGCTGTGCAGGATACCCCAGGAGAAATGCCCATCATCTGCAGAGAAATCCTATGGACCGAACCCTTACCTTTCCTCTCTTCTTTGTGTGTTTTGCAGCTTTTCAAAGGCAAGTTTTTTGTCTGCCAGGGGGAGGACACCAGAAACATCACAAATAAATCGGATTGTACAGAAGCAAGCTACAAATGGGTCCGGCACAAGTATAATTTTGATAATCTCGGCCAGGTATTAATGGAATGGTAATCTGCTTCTTTGCTCCTTTACTTCCTTGACTTAAAACCTGTGCATTATTATCCCATGGGATTTTCTTACAGGGCACTAGCAGTCGCAGTAAATATTCAGTTCACATACACAGCATTCTGTCTCTATAAATCCCAAAGGTAGTGTTTCCAAGCAGGCATACACTTCTTTTCAGAACAGAACAAGCACTTGTGGTTTCGTGGAGTACTTAATTGCTTCACTGCTACATAACAAACCAAATATATCTTGCAGAAGGGCTTGTCTAATAGAGCCGGACACTTTCAACCATCTCTGCAACACAGCCTTATTTTAGCAGCATGGTAAGGACTAATTAGTCGGGAGCAGTAGAGACCTGGAGGGTGGAAATGAAGCTGCTTTTGTCTTCAGCTTTGTGGTTTCCAAATTAGCGCTCATTGCGGAACCGGGCGCTGACATTGATAGGTTTTTGCTGCCAGGAGAAACCTTGGGCATCAAAGTGTCCCATTATCAGACAGGTAATGATAATCCCCAGACAGGAAAGGGCAAAGAGGAGCAAAATGTTACAGGTAGAAGAGCTTTAGTGCAACTGTGTCTAACTTTTTTTCCATGTATTCCTAGGCCCTGATGTCTCTCTTTGTTCTGGCCTCCAAGGACGGGTGGGTGGATATCATGTACGATGGGTTAGATGCTGTGGGAGTTGACCAGCAGGTACGTGCTCTCGCAGAGCTGTAAGAAATGAGTTGTCAAAGGTCGCATGTTTTGGCCCTTGTTTTGCAAAATACTGTTGGCTTCCACAGTCAAATGGGGCTATGGGGTTGGGATCGAGGGAGCCGTTTAACCCAAGTCCTGGGGTGTGACAAGGAGTCAAGTGGAAAGTCTGGATTTGGACCTAGCCCTTTTCCTACAGATTTTGCAACACGACTGGTGTAACTAGCATTAGGAGAACCACACCAAAGCCAATGGTTTGAGTTTTTAAGCAATTTGGACATGTCAGGAGAAAAGAAGTGCTTTGTGTAGGTACAGTTTTTCAGTGAGGGATTTACGATAGCTGCGATGGATGCTACTGTCCTGTTGTTGGCAGAACAGAGGTGGTGGTTCTGTCCTCAACGCGCTTTGTGTTTTGGGCGCATTCAGTTAAAATGTCTCAGAGGGCTCTGATTTTCAGGAAGAGCAGAGCACACTGAGCTGCCTCAAAGGGGCACCCAAGGGTTTTGTGGATGGGGCAGC